TGCTACCTCACAGTACCAGGGTCCCCGGTTCGATCCTGAGCTCAGGTTACTCTCTCTGTGCGGTTTCACATGTTCTCCCCTGTCTGAGTAGGTTTCCTCTGGTTCCTCTGGTTTCCTGCCATGTCAGTAGGTGGCTTGGTTACTAATTTGCCCTGGGTGTGAAGAAGTGTGTGATGCATGTGTGTGCGTGGAGCCCTGTGATGGATGGGCGTCACATCTGTTGTGAATTCTCTCGCCTTACACACATCTCGGGATAGGCTCCAGATCCACCGTGATCCAAAAAATGCAAATGAAAACACAGATTGATATTGATTAATAACGTGACGGTTTATTCCACCATATTTTATTGATGAATGATACTTAAAATGTGATCTTCATATGAATTCATATTAAATCAGTACAAGTAAGAGGGAGGAAAAGAAGAAGGCAAAAATTAAGATTAATATTTTGATAGAAAAAGCAAATAAGTTCAGAGTAAATGACAGCCATAATTGTCTTTAAATGAGAGATGATTTCCCAAGATTGGTCTAATAATTACACATGATTACATTTATATTACCACATTTTAATCAAAAACAGTTTAATATTACATGCTGACATATTTATGAGCACATTTCGATGCATAAAAAACATTTATAAGTCTTTTTTTAAGTCTAAATCTTAACTTTTTTTCTCTCTAGACTCACACTAAAAAGGCTACATTATTTAAAAATTTAAATGTGAAATTCTATTAACTCTATTAGCAAATGCTAAAAGTTGACGTTTGTTCGGTATTGAATCACAGGCTTTGTGCAGTGCAACGAATGAATTAGTAAAATTTTGCCCTTTTCAGACATACAGCGCATGGCCTCTTGATGAGACACAGGCGTGTCATTACATAGGAGACATTCTTAACCTATGGCGGTTTTCTTCTTTCCCTCCGTCATCGTAAATTCTCATAGGAGGAAAATGCCTGCAGGATGAGCTGTTAGACAAAGCCCTTTCAGTCTAGGTTGAGTTGATTCATCCGCGTTTCATGCTGGTTGTGGGGTTCGGCGTGCCAGGGCTCGATCTTTGCTCACAGGGCATTAACCCTGGCATGGGTGCCAGCTCTGATAATCCTCAATCAGAGTAAACTGATAGAAGGATAAGCTGTCTAATGATTACTGCTGCTATGTATGGTGTGTTTGTTGGGATGAAATGTGAAATGTGGGTGTGTTTGCAAGCCTTTCAGTGTGACATAACCAGTTTCAGCCTTGCCTGTAATTATACACAAAGTTAACCCTCTGTGGTATGTCATCCTTTATAAATAACATAGTGATGAGAGAGGGTTAAAATTTTGGTATGCATAAGAATCCAACCCAGTGGACATGAATAAAAATGCATTTGGCCAGTTATGATGGAGACATTTGGCAACGACATCAGCATGCCGTGCGTTCGTGTGGCTTTGTAAAATGAATTTCTCAAGGTGGTAGCTGATCTACTACATATCACAAATTCCCTTGAGCCATAGAACAAATTAAAGTCATGTTGTCTGCCATAGGAATCAAATTGCAGTGTGCTTGCTATGCGTGCTTGAACGTAGAAAACTCCCACTTAAAATAAATAAAAGGGAAATATAGTGGAAGTTCAGGACAGCGTTTTATAGGTTTTCCATTCTGCAAATGTGGGTGCGCTGATAGGCAAAAAATGGTCCTTAATATTAACAAACTGTCGTGTGGAATTTCACACGTGAAGTCCGTGGAGTGTTGTTTGATACGAAGAGGCGCACTGTTTACACGTCCGGGACACGAGGACCCCACTAGACAAACTTTCAACCTTTGTCTAGCATATTTATTAGGTCTCTGCTCTTTATTAAACTACTGATTAGGATGTCTTTGCTCTAAACGTGGTGCACTTTTGTTTTATTGGTGTCATTATAGTTTTGGAGACCAAACAGTTCTTGGTCCTGATCCTACAGTTCAATTCCGGAAATATTGGCACCCCTGTTAAAGATGGAAAAAAGGGTCTTTGTGGTTTATCAGCTTAATCTCACACTGGAAATATGAAAGAATTCTAACTTTTAATTGAAGTTCAAATTTAAAAAAAAAATGTTTTAACAAAACTACTTGTGTCCCAGTTATTGGCATCGCTTGAAATTCTTATGAACAAAATATAACTGAAACATGTTTGCAGTTATATTTAAAGATCAACCAAATGTTTAAGAACTCTTAAGAGCTCATCCATGACTTCCTGTTTCCCTGAGCAGAGACAGAAGCGTTCATAGAAACGAAAGTAAATGCATTTTAAAGTTTTGATGAGAGAATATGGGAAAAAAAAACAAGAATTTGGTCTTTCATGTGATTCTTTAGTAATTAATGACCAGAATATTCCCTGGGACATGAACTAACATGTTTTAAGGATTTATTTAAGGATTTATTACCACGAGCAGTGACATGAGTTTTTCTCATGTTCTCATTTGGTTGAAATTAAACAAAATTGCTCTGCCTGTTAGCTCTAGCCTAGCCAAAGCACAGAATTATTGGCACTCTTCAAGAAAATGAGCCAAACTGATTGTATCCATCATTTTTACAGCATTACATACAATGAACTTGTTTTTTATGAAATAGTATTTGTTTTTATATGTTAGTATTAGTATCTTTCAAAAACATATGTGGCAAAATTATTGACAACCCTTAAGAATAAGGACAAATTGTCATCCTTGCATCTTGTTTGTCATCTGTCAACATGGAAAAAGCCAAAATGCTTTCAACACTAAAGAGATTGATGGCTGTTGACCTGCACAAGTCAGGTAATGGATAGAAACAACTAGATAAGGAGTAAAATAAAAACACTAAGCACAATCAGGGTTATAATATAATTTCAGAAGTGTTGAAGGTCCAAGATATTACAGGAGGAGACTTTTATGCTCTACAGAGGAGTCTTTACCAAATATCAGTCGCAGTGGCACCAATAAGTTGGAATCCAGGTGGGGCAAGTCATAGGGCCTCCAAAGGATAGCAGATAGCCTCCTGTTTGCTAGCACTCTCCAGTAAAAGTATGATTTATTGCATATGGTCTATCACCTGCTCACTCTTTTGTGGTTGCTTTGCTGGTCAAGAGGATCCCTTTGAACCAAGAATAAGAAAAATCCTATCACCCAATCACGACTGTCCGATCTGCACTATCACTAGCCTTATCAACTCCCACCTTTCTCTTTTATGTTGTTATTTCTGCATCTCCTGTTGTTCTTGCCTCACTCTGTTTCACACACACACACACACACACACACACACACACACACACACACACACACACACTCTTTACCGTTACCTCATCTCAGCTAGCAGTGGCTAGCTGGGTTCCATCTTGAAGTAAATCAGAAAGTGTGGGATAATTCTGTAACTAATAAAGAAAAAGGGATTGAGGGGGAGTGCTTTGATGGATCAGGCTGAAAAGATATTTCATGTTTTTTGTGAGCAATGTGTGATTCTATGGAGGCCGCGTGCACCCCTGCTGCTCCTCTCTGCCCACAGGCAGCCCCCCTCTGGCTAACGTTATGGAGAAAGGAAAGCATTTTATAGCGACCTCTCTCTCTCTCTCTCTCTCTCTCTCTCTCTCAATCTCTCTTGCCCCCCTCTGTCAGACCCCTTTCTTCTTTTGTTCCCTTTGAAGAATGACTTTAGACATTGTATTTACATATTTAACCATGGATGAAAGAAAGGAGGGGTGAGGAGAAGAAGGCTTCCTGGGCTCTTTTGGGAATATAGTTAAGTTGAAATGAATGGAAATCTTATTAGTTATTTTTTCCTGAAGCATATGTTTTTTGGCTTTTTAGTGAAGTCTAAAATGATATGATGGAGGAGATAAGAAAGAGATCAGAGATCACCTGGACGGAGAGTCTGCCTTCTGTCTTCTGAACACTTCCCACATCATTAAAGGAAGAGTTTGGCGAAAAAAGGAGAAAAAAAAAAATCAAATCAAATCTCCAAAGTCAAATTTCTGCTTTACCCCAAATGCAATCAATCAGCGAACATATTGGAGGGTCAGAAAAGTACTTTTTTTCTCAAATTCACACTATATCTACGAGACAAGTAACAATAAATCCCCAGTATGAAACTATTAAAGCAAACCTCAGACACTAAACATGTTTTCGCTGATTAACTATATTTGGTGTAAGGGGAAAAAATTGGGTAAATTTGATTCAGTACTTAATTCAATACTATTTCATACTTTCATTTTATCCCAAGTGGCTCAAAAGTGAGGTGAATTCAATCTGGACACAGATCTGGGCTTTTGAGAGTTAAGTGTCTTGCTCAAGGACCTAACACTGGGTCTGGGGCCTTGTTCAAACCTGGCAGTTATCCATCTCACAAGTGGACAGGGTTAAATATAGGTGTGTCCAGAGCATTTCTGGAGACGCTGTGACTGGAGACTTCTCTTGGAGATGGTCAGGGACCCATGCAGAAGCAACATTAGAAGGGTGAACGGTAACATGTCCCAAAAAGGAAGGTAGTAAAGTATCTAAAAAACAAAGCACCGGGTTACTCGCTACACAGAATTTTAACATTTTAAAATACCAATAACTTTAAAACTTCAACTTTAAAACTTTAAAATACCAAATAAACTGACAGCCTTCTGGTCAACCACTACGTTATAAAGTGATTTTTAGCATCAGACACCTTCAAAGGGTCGATCTAAATTCCAAACAAATCTAAACTTTACCAACAAGAATCAAAGCTAATACTCAACAATGTAATCTATCTGCTGCTTTGTATCTATAACCGCAGTTCAGCATTCAGCTAGTTTGTATCAGCAGAGTTATTATCATGCTAGCTAATATTTGCAAGATTAGTGACAAAGAGAAGAGAGGAGAAGCTGAAGCCTTTATTTGTCACATATACATTACAGCACAGTGAAATTCTTTTCTTTGCATATCCCAGCTTGTTAGGAAGTTGGGATCAGAGCACATCAGCCATAATCCAGAGCTGCTGGAGCAGAGAGGGTTAAGGGCCTTGCTCAAGGGCCCACCAGTGGCAACTTGGCAGTGCTGGGGCTCGAATACCCAACCTTCTGATCAGTAACCCAGAGCCTTAACCGTTGAGCCACCACTGCCAAAAAAAAAAAAAAGCTGTTGCTAGTGAAATAGGCACTAATTTACCATTAGTAACTAAAAACATTCTTCTACCTTTACTTTCAAACTTTAGGTAGAGTTATTTATTTAGGTATTTGTTAGATGTGTATTTTCACTTTGCTTGTGTAATGACTTTTATCATCTGTCTCTTTTCATTTTTATGCACTTTTTATTGGCCTGTATTGTTCTATTTTAAAACATTCTCCTCTTTTAATCCTATGGTAGGTGCTGTATAAATAACAGTATATTATTGGTTGTAGTAAATATTATTTTACTTCTGACACACACACACACACTACTGACAAGTCAGCGGATCTTTTGCGCCAGACTTTCTGGCTATTGACTTTGCATACATGGGTTTTGAATGTGTGTGTGTGTGAGTGTGAGTGTGTGTGTAAAGGGGGCTGGTAGCAATGGTGGATTTTGGCCATGTTTCGTATTGTGCTCTCAGACTGAAAGGGCATGTTGATTAAACGTATGGGAGGGGCAGGAGCTTAATCTGCTTACCACGGGCCTCTTCTCTTCTCTTCTCTTCTCTTCTCTTCTCTTCTCTTCTCTTCTCTTCTCAAGGAATCTTTGCAGACGCATTTTAGTATTTTAGAGGAGTGATGGAAAACCGGTCAGTCAAGTGGAGGAAACTCTCATGAGCTCCCTGATTAATCATTTAAGCCCTTGGTTACTTCAAACGTGTGCTGCGTTCAATGAGGACATGCGCTTTTAATGGTTCAATAACAGATCATTTATTAATGACTTCTAATTGTCCCTTTGTGTATCAGGGCAAACTTTATCAACTGTCTCTCTAAAGTATATCTTTTTTCTTTAAGCCTTTCATGCATGCCTGGTTTTTAGAAAACATTAAAAAAAAAAAATCACCTCCAAATCCCTTGCTGTAATTTAGCACAAACCGCTGATTTCTCTCGCTCTGTAGACTATTTGCATTTCTCAGTGAAGCATGTCTCTGGTACCTGTCCAAACTTTCTACACAAAAGCCTAAATCAAATAAAAACACTTCTGCGACTCTTTCGAATGTTGTAGCCTTTTAAAATGAAGATTCTTTTTATTTAATCTCCGGAATCAGTTGCATTGTGCAACAGATTGCATACATTTTGTATATGTCAAGAATATTGCTGTATTTTGTAATTATGGTCATCAAAAATAAATATTAAAGACCTGAATGTTAAAAAATGAATGGAATGGTTAATATTGGCTTTCAGATCACCTGACTGCCACAAAACACGCCACTTAAACATTTAGTTATGTGCAATGAGCAACCCAAGCTGCCATTCCCATTTCTGGAATTATTTTTAAATTTATTCTGTATTTATTTCACTTATGTAATGGATCCAATGAGAGAAATGCTTTAAATGTGACTGATTAACAATACAACATTATAAATGTATCAAACATACATAACATATAAAAAAGTACAAAAATGCTACCAATAGATGTTGTCACAAACTACATTATAACTAACTTAATGTTGCACTAAGTACCATGTAAAGGGACATAAATTTGAATTTAAAAAAATTGGAATAAGGTTGAATTGAATTGATAAATTGACCCATGTTTAAGTTATAACAGGTATTGAAAATAACCACTTAATATTAAATAAATGTTTGACTTTTTTCCAAATTTTAGGTGGCAAGATTATATGGTAATCATGATCAATTACATCATGATATGCCTTTCTGGGAGCATTCGAGTTTTCCCTTTTCACCAAATGTAGTTGATTAGCTGAGAGCTGAGATTGGTATTGCAAGTTTTTCTTTACTTTTGAACTGAAGCTATGAGGATAATATAGTTAGCAAATAATGGAAACTACATACCTAAATCATCACTAAAAGATCGTTTGGCTAGCTAATTTAATTTGTGCATAAAGTTTGACAGAAGTATGTTGTTAAAAACAATAAATATTCAAATATTGGAAGTTTGCATAATGCTAAACTAGAGGCTGTTAGAGGCATAGGGCTTCCCTTACTCCTTAGCTACATTAGCCTCTTAGCTCTAGTAAAAAAAAAAAAAAGAAAAAAAAGAGACAAACTTTGGATCACAAACACGTCTCGGCTGATCTGTTTGTGTTAAGGAGAGAATTGTGTACATTTCATTTTTGGCCAAATTGTTTCTTAGCAACCCTAATCACTGTAATCAAGTGTACATTTCTAGACACAACAACCGGTGATGTCACGCTGTCAAACTACAACTTCATAGTAACAAGTGTCTGATTGGATGTTAGACAATTATGCTATTATGCAATAGTATTTTGACATTTGTTTGATTTTATCTCGTTCATCTGGTTAATTTCTCGGTAAACCTTGCTTAGCTTTTGCTTGTACTCTATGTTTGTTAGAACACAAAATGACATTGTGATGCACATCATCTATCATAGCTGCCTTCTAGTATTACAATTATATTTTAAGCCCTAACTTTGTAAATTGATACACGTTTAATCAACCATTGCGCTACATCATGATCAAATGTTTGAAGATCAAAACGTTACTGCTTTTATGTGAATCCTGGTGCTTATAGTTGACTTTAGTGGTTTATGTACAGCTTTTCCAGTTCATTTCTCATACCATAATAGAAACCGTCCACGCTGATGTAAACTGAATCACTCGACCAGGCCATAAACAGCGCAGCCACAATAACAGGGTTAAAACTGAGGAGCAGACGGATGAGCCTTTCCATCACACAGTATGTAAACACAGATGACTTCATGTGCTGTGTCAAACAACATGCTGTCAGAAGTTTACACTTAACTACTGAGCTCCTCCAGCTTTCAACTAGCCATCATTCAGCATGGCTTTGAAAGCCAAAAATAGCTGAACAGCCAATGAAAGAGTAGAAACACGAAACAAGGCGGAAGCTAGTGTGATGTAATACTGTGTTATATACTACTGATTATAAAATAATGTTGTTTCCAGTGTAGAAATGAAATGCTCTTTATTACACAAGACAGTTTTCTTCTGAAGTCGGCTTCTTTAGAGTTGCGCTAGAGCTACTGCACTAATCTCAATCTGGATTTATGCTGTTGAGGACAAAAAAATCTTTTTTACACTAGCTACTATAGCTTTTGAGACAAGTTTTGGTTTACATGCTTTCTGACACCGCATGGCACAGTGGTATCTATAGAAATGGACAAAAGGACAGAGCTGAAAACAGTCTTGAGGCTTAATTACGTTCCTGCTTACAGTTTGGTATCAGACACAAAACTTCAAAGACGAAATGATACATTAGACGTGATTTTGGTGATAATAAAGTTCCAATTTGGATTCTAATTTTAATTTTATAGCGATTTCTAATGACATACTTATTCTTCTATTTTATCAAACTTTTCTTAAGTACAACTGGCAAAAATAAAGTAGCAAACTTCAGACATCAAGCACGTCTTGGCTGTGCAAATTTAATTTTCGGCCAAACTGTTCCTTTAAAGTCGTCCTCTTTGAAAACGTGAACTTTGATGTACTGAAGACCATGATATTGAATTTTTTATATCGCTTCAGCCCTAAGAAAGACATCCCACTCTTGGAATGAAGTGCTAGCTAAAGTTTGCTAAATGTTAAATTAAGAAGTTTGCAAACATATCGCATTGCACCAGATGGTAGAAGTGGCGCGGTCCGAGTCTGTCCGGATTACGGAGGTGACCAAAGGTTATAGGAGTGAATGAAACAAATAGATCACTTGTGTGTTCCTAAGAGATAATGAAGTGATTGAAAACTACCCGAGGTCCTTGTAAGGGCACTTGAGTGTGAATCGCTAATCAGGAAGGAGTCTCTCTCTCTCTCTCTCTCTCTCTCTTTTCTCTAATCCGTCTTTGAGTGCCAGGACTGGATTCAGCAGTGTGTCTGATGGGGGGGGAAGGGAGTGAGGGATAGAAAGAGGAGAGAGAAAGAGAGAGAAAGAGAGAGGGATAGAAAAAAAAGGGGATATGGGGACACCCCGCTGATTTTGGCTCCGGAGGATCCATTCATGCGGAGGGTCTTCACGTACTATTCCCACAGTTCACACAGACGCACACTCTCTCCACCTAAATTAGATTAGACTCCTCTTCATTCTCCTCAGTGAGAACGCTGGCCTTTCTCTGCCAGAGAGCCCTCACTCTTCGGTCTTCTTCAATGCAACGAGAACTCAGACAACCCCAGTCAATACACTCTCATGTATACACACACATACACAACCCAAAGCTTTAAGTATAAACCTCTATTGTGTGTCATCCTGCATACACACACACGCACACACACACACACAAACCTGCAAACTCTGTCTTATAAATGCATCAAAACTCATAATTTAATCTCAAGTGCAAAAAAATAAACAAAACGCACTGTCCCTGGTTAGTTTTAAACAACGAAAAAAACCAAAAAAACGAAACAATAGGGTGGTCTAATAAAGCATGTTGATTATTTTCCTGCAACAGCACATTCTGAGGTGTTTTATTCTTCTTACACCACAGCAACTTGCCAACAATTAGAATATTTTATTTATTAATGAACAACACGTCATACTTTTTATCCATTTTATATTTATATACACTTTCTATATTTAATGTTGTCGGACAAGGTAGCTCGCGTTTCTACATTTTAGCAACCATAAAAATATAGCAAAACATAGCAAACATAAACCATATCCCTCACCAGCCTCTCTTTTTCTTATTGATGTATAAATAATAAGGCATAAAATGAAAGCTTATCATGTTACCAAAGTCTTTTGCCCGGAAGACTTTGGCAGAAAACATACTGTTACAAAGCGTTGACACTGGAGACTCCTTCCATAAATGTTAAACATCTCCTTACAGAAAACCCCAACGATCAGAAGACCCCGTCTTTCCTTGTTAAATAACACTTTTTTATGATTTGAATTATGGAACGACTGTCAGAGCTGCAGTTAAAGAAAGTTACTCAACACACTGGGTCATGTTTCAACACATTCTAAATTGAGAATTCAGCGATGCTGTTGTTGTATTGAGATTAACCATAAGTAATGTT